AGAGACTTCAACAGACAGTTTTTCAATATACTTGGTCAAATAGTTACTCTTTAGTTTTCCCAAAAAGCCTCTGAAACCTCCTTTAGCTCTCAGCTCTTACCTCCTCTCTAGTAGAGCAGGCTACTTGCAAACTATCATACTTTATCACAAAAAGTGATTTGCACCCTGCAAACACATTACCAGAAGAAGCAAGGAAACCTGACCCCCTCTGTTAAGAATACCAGGATCTGATTCTTAGGAACTACCCTAAGTAGAATAACTCCACTCGGAATTGGACTCTCTGATTTCCAACACCCTCCTCTGACCTACTTACAGGGCCCACACATTATTATACATATCAATTTTAGTTGCGTCCTATAACTATAATGTCAGAAAACTGAAGGTAACAGAATAATATCATATACATTGCTGCTATCTGTCCAACTAGGTCCTGTTTACAGATTACACGAGAGTGGCCCTTCTGATAGGTCTAGGAGGTATAACAGAGTAAATTTGTTAACTACTCAAACAGTAACTAGGCTTTAAAGAGAGAATAGATTTGGTAAGAACTGTAAGTAACTGGACATTTTCACATGAAGATATGATATTGAATGTAAGAAGATCTCAATAGAGATCCAACATATTCTCATCTACCCTACAATAATTCAAAGACTCAAGAACTCCAAGGAACACTACTAAAGAATCCAATAGACTTTATAGGGTGTTACAACTAAGTCCAAGGATGCATCATAGTTGCAGGAATTATGTTCAAGACTAAACAGCAACTAATACCCTATTATTTAGAGCAACTAAGAGTTGCCAACTGAGGAATTATCTGCCAATCTGGTAGAATAGTTTCCTGCATTTTAGTACGAAGTTATCTAGAGGATATCTGTTGATTGAATTAGGAGTTATAGCAGTTCAAAGTTGGTGATCCAAGAAGGTTGCATCTACAATGACTCCTGCAAACATAATCTGCAGATAAAACTGATTATTTCATCAATTTGGGGGACAATTAGGGCCAATACAGTTTGACTTAAAGAGCTAGGCTATAAGTCTTTGAACCATGAAGATTCGACAACTACTATTGGGAGTAATACAGTTCTCCAATTGACAAAATAGTATTTACCAAAAAGGGTGTGAGGGTTTTCAGGATCACCTAGTATTCGCACCTCAGGAGAATGTCCTACATTGTAAGTTATAGTTAAAGAGGTACATAATTCGTATGAGAGATTGATGTAGTCTGAGAACAATTATATGTATAATATAAATATTGAAGTATCTCTTAAGCTTTTTAATATCATCAAGCAACAGAGAAGAGATATTAATAATACAATCTTGTCTTCACAACTTTATTCTACTTTACCTTACTCTCAGTAAGTATAAACAAGTAACTCTTTGAGCCTTTCCAGACTAATCTTCCTCTACAGAAAGGAATCTCATTTGGCCTTGACAATTCTGAGTCTATACAGGTTGTCTCTGCCTAACAGATGCTACATTAGAATGAGGTATCACTTAGCAGACTAAGAAAGATATTGTTAGTCAATATTAAAAGTAGTAAAGAAGACAAAGGACCTCAGAGATATAGAGGTATCAGAGAGGTAAGGTCATCACCTGTTAAAGAACTAACATATACAGAGTAGGATTATTATAAATTCTTTGAGAATATTATTAAAGAGATGGAAATAGAAAGAAAATTTTTCATATCCCTCTTCTGGCTGCCACTTGAAAATCTTGGCATTTCATTTTGGTTAAGTGATAGTCTGTGATTATATCCTCACTTCCAGTAACAGCTATTATTGATTTTACTATTCTAGAAAGTTATTATTTTTATTTACTTTTTCTGATATAAAGTATAAATTCTTATTCTAAGGGGAATTATTGCTACAAAAAAAACATAATTTGAGGTGAAAGACAGAGAATCAGAAGATTTACCTATAAAGGGCTGGTCTTCTCTCACTGCTGCCATTCTCCAAGGATTATTACATCTACCTTTTGAGATAACTTTCACTCGCCAGAGTATCACTCCTCCTACCCACACTAGAGACAGAAAATCAATTAGCAGCTATGATACCCATTAATCAGGTGTGAGCATCCAAGATAACTCTATTGCTGTCCTAGATATTGTTACTTTTTCCTATCACTTTGTCCTGTTACCAAATATTTGTTGCAGAACTCCTGTCTGCTACTAAAATTCAGGCTGAGACAAGCCAATAGTGAGTAATGTGAAAACTCTCACCTGTATTAGAGTATTCCATTCACCATGAGAAGGCTTTTGTAGAGAAGTAGAGGTCACTTTCAACTAATACTAGCATATCGGTTAGGGTTGCAATAACTATCACTAGAAGTGATTTTTGTCCACAGTCTCATCTACTTGTTAACTATCATACATATACAGTATCTATCTACTTTAAGAACTCAAATAATTGTCACTGATACTAAGAGGTTAAAATAAACTGTGGAGCTCTTAATATTAAATGAGAGGAAAATCCTTCAGATTCTGTGTAACCGGTACGGGTACTCGGTTATTGGTTTTGTTTTATGTTTTGTTTTAAGTATCGCTTTGATACTTGGTTTGTTTTAAGTATTGTTTGATACTTGGTTTTATTTTATATTTTGTTTTAAGTATCGATTGATACCTTTGATTAGTTTCGTTCATGTTAGATATGAACAGATTTGTGTATTTAAAGACCGCCTGATTCCACGATGGAAAAGGCAGACTTTGACAGACAGTATTTCAATATACTTGGTTGAATGGTTACTTATTTATTCCTCAGTACACCCTCGAAGCCTTCTTTAGTTCTCAGCTCTCGCCTCCTCTCTGAAAGAGCAGGCCACCTGCCAACTATCGTACCTATTACCGATAACATGATTAGCACCTTGCGAACATATTACAATCTGTAGTTGTCTTAGACTATCAAACATGTGCTATAATTACCACTTTCAATCACAGCTCATATACCAGTAGCAAAACCTAAGGAAAAGTCTAAAATGAAAATATAATCAAAGAAAGGGGAGGAGGAGGGTATAGAAGACACAAGAGAATAGACTTTTCATGACTTTAGAACTCAAACGACACCATTATCTATCTTTTAACAAGCAATTACCTCATATCCTAGTACTAAACATGTCTCTGAAAACAGTTGAAAAAAAGAAGATAGAGCTAAAACTACTACTTCTAAATACTAAAAGATTTTACACCAAAGTGAGAAAAAAGCCAGGCCCCAAACAAAAACCCCTTATCACAGCACCAAGATGTACACTTTACCAAGTTGAGACATGATATCGATCATATAGTATCAGCTATAAGATCAGCGTACTTTTGTCCTAGGATAGAGCGAGCATTCCGAGTGGACCAACACAACTCCGAAGGCCAACTTTAGCCGAACCTGCTAACAAATTTAAACTGCCAGTACGAAACCTATACTGATGGAGGAAGAAGAAAGAAGAAGGAAAGTTTACCAATCAGTCAAGTAAGTAGTATTGAGTAAGAGGAGGAGGATGGCCAAGGAAGTGGGAAAAACTAGAGAGAGAACTTTAAACCAGTTTCAACATCACTGTGCCTCAGGAGCTATCATTTCCTGAGGATGGTTCTACCATATCATTAAAGAGTTATAACAGGAGCTATATTCTGAAGAACTAAATACCAGCTTTTCTTTCTCAAATGGATGATTCTGCTGTTTTCTAAGCTGGCATCAGATTAGCTTATAATTCATTACCAATAATGCCAGCAAGCTACCAAGCAACTTCAACAGTACAATATTAGACTGGATGTGCTTCAATAGGAGAAACTCACAACTTTACACCGATAATGAGATGGGACTTGGAGATTAGCCTGTTGCTATATGCCACTACAGACTAAGCAATATCGCCAATCTGGATCAGATACTATTACCATTTGAGCATTTGAAAGGGAGGACTTACCACTAAAGAGGAGAAAATACAATTTGGGCGCAAAGTTCACAATCTGGTTGGTATAAGCATCAGGGGACTATCTAGCTTACAGTATTTGTAGACAGAATCCCTAGACTCAAACTACTGATCTTCCTTCGTAGACTAGGGGTAGGAGGTGAAATATTATAGAAAGAAAAATCTACAATCCTCATGTGATCGTGAAATTTAATACCAAGGTATATGCAAACTCATCTAACATCATTGAATGGTTAGATGAGCAGTTTGTTCCTATACACGAAAATTAGCTAACTCTTCTTACACTTGATCTCATTGGGGCTCACAAGAAAGAAGAAGTTCTCAATGCATTTCGTACTAATAATATTACCATTAGCATTATTCCTGGAGGGTGTACATAACTTTTACAACTACTTGATGTTTCAATCAGCTACCTATTCAATGATATCCTAAAAGTAATTTCTGCTTACCTTTAACTTTTGTTGTAAGTTATTTTTTTTTTTAACAAAAAGCCCCTCAACTAACCTGTAATAGGAGGTTTTAGAGGAAAAATTAGATGAGGTTGAAAGGACTGAGTAGCAGATATTGTTAGCAGGTGGTAAGCTAACTGGAAGCATGGTCGGTAGAAGGAGGGTACTTATGACATGGACTGTAGGGGAGATGTAGGAGCACTTCTTGAAACAGTGCCAGGAAGTGGTGAGGAAAGCATTTCAGGTTCTTAGATTGTCACTTCCTATAGATGGCAGTTGTGGTCATGAACTATCAGTAAAGGGTATAGATAAGACATACCTGATGGAGGGATTGAAAGATTGGGGGCAAGGGGGAGGAAACCGCGATAAAAGTAGTGACTTGGAGGACAAAGAAGTGCTTGATGAAGCAGAAAACGATATCAATGTATCCTATGAAGAAAGTTGGTAAATTATGAAACTGATATTGCGCAATACACCTTGGCAAGACAGAGTTTAATTTGGCCTCTTAGCGCGAGTGACAATTATTCGAGTTCTTACGGTATCAGATTATCAACGAGTTCAAAGGCGAATTCACTTTTTTTCCCAAGAGATTTATCATTAGTTGATCCACTAATTTGGTGCTTCATGGCCGACCTTGACGGGCAAAATTAACTCTCGATTAATTTTTTTTTGCGAAATATGATCTGAGAATAATCATAACTCCATGTTAACTTAGCGCTCCAAATACGGTTCTTTAAGCTAGAGCCTGACAAGGGAAAACAAGACCTTTTAAAAAGTAGAGGAGAAAAAATGAATAAAATAGAACCCCTGTAGCCGTGCCGCCGAACTCCGTACCACCGCTCAACCAAAGGAGAAAGAAAAAAAGGGAAGAGAAGAGAAGAGAGAAGAGAAAGGAAAGGGAAAGGAAACAGAGATGCCCAGCGAGGAGCGGAAAGTATAGTACTAGTACCACTAGCACCATAACCGTTAGAACTTCCTTCCACTTCACCCCGGAAGCAAGAAAGTAAGCGATCCCACCACCCATCAGCTACTCCTGTCCATTGGACCCCTCCCCCTCATCCCACCCGACACGTTATTCATACTCTCCAGCTCCGCCTCCATCTCGATCTCACTCTGAATCTTCTGCATCATTTCCAGAAATTTTCGTTGGGTCCTTAACCCGCCGTCCATCTGCAACATCATCTGCTGCTCTTCCAGGTCCTCCTGCTGTTGCTGTTGCTGCGCCCGCTGAAGTTCTTGCTGCTGTTGCTGATGGTTAATTTGAAATCGGTGTTGGTGTTGCAATTGCTGTTGTCCATGTTCCCCCTGCATCATCATGATCACTGTTTGGGGGTTCATATCTAATCCTCCCCCAATTTGCTCCGACCACTGCTGCTGTCCAAGCCCTATCGGGCTCTGATATCTCAACTTCCAGCTCGCCACGTTTTGTATCAACTTTGTCAGCGAGCCCATGTGGTACCTATCCACAATCCGGTCCCTACAAGGCTCGCACAGACGCAGGGTGCACGTGTTGCACTCAAAGAGTTGGCGAGTGAGTGTGTCGTCGCAGGCTACGCAACCCTCGCTAAGGAATTGCTTCTCGACTTTTACGAAGAAGAGGTGCGGGAGGAGGTGGAGGTATTCTCTATAAGCGTAGATTGGATTTGACATGGTGGTTATATGTAGGGTGTGCGTGCCTGGAGTTGGGGATCCGGGGTATGTGGAGGTGTGTGTGGGGCTTTGGAGGCGGGGGGGTAGGGGGACTGAGTAAATGGTAGGGTAAGTGGTCGCAGATGTGGATGTGGTGGTGTTGTGGTGTGTGGAGGGATATGATAGATTGTGGGTATCGATAGGGTACGGTAGTGGGTCAAAACTACTATTTTGTGCTGCGGATGATGAAAGATGGAGGAGCAAGGTCGGAAGTGAAGAGGGGGGGGACAGCCGTGATAGAAATATCGCCTGGGTCCAGGACTTATCACCACTTCACCAACAAGATCCAGGAGATAAAATCCCAGCTTTATGAAGAACAATATCATGCGCGGTTAACAAGAGCGAGGAGAGGAAAGGGAAGAAGAGGAAGGTGGGGGAGGTGTGCTTCAAATCACCGAAATCCAAATGTCAAGGGGCTAAAATAAAAGAGCAAAAAAGTAAAAAAGTAAAAAGAAGGATAAAAAACAAAGAATTAGAACCGCTATTCCTTGGAAAAGTAGAGAGAAAAAGTATGGAGAAGTATCATAAAAGCAAGTTAAGGTCAAAAAAGATCCCGCAGCGGTAACCAGTTGTCTCTTTCTTTTCTTTTCTTTTTTCCAATCGTCCATTCTCCTTCTCCTTGCTTTTTTTTAACCGGGGAGGGGGGAACTCACTCTTTACTTTTTGCTTCCTCCTTTCCACCTTTGCAGAAGGTTCAGGCAAGCAGGCAAGCAGGAAAAAGAGGACGAAAGAGGAGGGTGGGACAGCAGCGGCAGAGGATTCGAGGATCGGGATTCACAGATATTTTCCAGCAGCGATAAAGAAAACCCCACCACATAGGGCAGGTAAAATTATCTACCGGAGTGAGAGGTTTGATGTACCCTTCTTTAGTTGGATGGTGTTTCGACCGAGCTGTACAAGTACAGTACCCTGTGGGAATAACTGCTATAACCAGACCGATAAACCGATAGATAGATAAAGGATAATTGACTTGGATCTGATCATAGTAAATAGACCAACACAGGTGAAGCAAAGGAAGGTGAAGCTGAACCTGATTTAGATAGGCACAAACCACTATCCAGATTGTTGTTGTCCAGAGGTAGTTGAGCCCGTCTAACTAAGAAGGAAGGCCCCCAGCTTAAATACACGTGCTAATATCATACAAAGACAGGAAATTCTATGGGATAAAAACCTCATTGCTCTCAAACAATACCCTATATAAACTCAGTGGTAATCATACTTGGCGAGTTGGTTATGCCATACTACACACATACCATATGATACAAGTAAATTTAGCATAACCAGGCCACCCGCCGACGCTAGGGAAACGAAGGAAAACAAGGTAACAAGGTCTGGTTTTCCAGGAGGGCTCAAGTGAGTGAATAAATCAAGAAGGCTAAATCATCCATTCGGTAAGGCTCAGAAAGAGGGTTTTGTCCTCCTTTCCTGTCGGTCCCTGATCTCGTCCATGGCGGAGGTATCATAAAAATGTCTAGTCTAGAATACTCCGGTATGATGGAGTATTCTAGACTAGACATTTTTATCTACCTCCTCCGATGCATCGAGTAGAGTATGAACTCAACCAGGGCACTATGCCCGTGGGATATTCTTCCACAAGTGCAAGCCACCATAGCACTCAAATTACATAAAGTGTAGTAGGGCAATTGACCTCCCATCCCAGGACCGTGGAATGGAACCTCGCTTAACACGGAAGCTTCCCCAATTGCCAATCATATCGTCAGTTAGGTTTATCAGGGCCCACCCAGATCGCTTGCCTTATTATGGCTTCGTCGCGTTCGTTCACTGCTGGACATGGAGAAAGTCCCTTACTAGGGATAGCCTCTTATCGCGTCGTATTATATTACAGGGAAAGTCGGGTTAGCAGAACATAGTTGAAGTTACTTAGGGGGAGGAGAAGAAAGTCCAGTAGCCCCTCTTCTTCGCGAGGGAGGGGGAGGCACCGTGAACACCATGGTAGGGCATCGTACGGTTGGTAATGCAAGTAGGCCGACAGAGCAGGAACGTGTTTATTAAGGTTATCGGTACCCGCATTTTATTAGGACATGATATTAATATAAGCTCTGTATTCATTATATCAGCAGACGTTGTGGCACCGCATAGAACCCCTAGGACTTTCCCAAGAGGCGTAGCTTGCGGCCCCATTCCACCGCATCCAATCCCGTGCAGCGAAGGCAGAGCGAAATCTCCCGTTAATGGGTTATACTTGTATGGCACCCGATATATACAATATATTCAGGGCAACTGTACGGCAGCCCGCATTCCCACCACCACCACTACCACTAAGTTATCATACCAATAAGGCACAAGGCAAAACCGAACCACAAGCAGAAGGTGCACCATCATATCAGCCAAAACTTTAAAATCCCACCCACGCTAGCAATTCCGCCCGGGGCAAGCCATCCACTCATCCAAGAAAAAGAAAAAAGTAGAAAAAAGGAACAAAATTGTACGCAGAAAGCAAGGCCACATTGTTAAGCTGCTACTCGTAGTTCCATGTACTGTACGGGCTGAGACCGCCAGTGTCGGGGGTTTTAGCGGTGGGGGATCGGGATGGGAATTAGTCTACGAGTAGTTATTGGGGAGGGAGGGGAAGGGATGAACCGGGAATTGCATTTTTTCGCCCCTTGGCTTCTTGGTCTGGAGTTATCGCGGCGGTCTGCCTCTTGAAGCGCAGGAAGCGGGGGGTTGAGATGCGGGTAATGTGATGTGGTTGTGAGATGTGGTCCTATAAGGACACGGTTACCACCACCAGAACTTGTATCATAGCGCCAGAAGCTGTGGGAGAGGAAGTGTGTAACCCCTCCTTCAACCCCCCAGATCGGGTTTTTCGATTGGTAGAGGGCAGTCGATTGGACTACGAAGTAGACTATTTTGAACTCTAGAACTACGACGGGTTACGATAGATCCAATGCTTGAACGGAAGCCACCCCGTGGCACAGGGGTCGCTTCTGCAACCATATCTTGGTTTATTTCTTTCCAATTTGGGAACGAATCGATCGTGATAAAAGATCATGGCTGGAGTGAGGTAGGAGGGTTGATGGACGCGGTGCCCCCACCGACAGTATCACAACCCCGCGATCCATGAGAAAGAAAATCCCACTATCACAAAAGACGAGGCATGAATGGTAAAGTACGGTCCCGACGGACCGGACCACTTTTATTTCGCTCGAAACGTGGAATCGTGTTGGGGCGATAAGCACCTGCTATCACTGCTGGCAACCCTATACATGATACAGCACCTTTAATATATATTCTTCAATTACAACATCCATCTGGCCCAACCCAATCACTCTCTTCAAACCCCTCTTCTCGTTCCACCTCATCCTCTCCATCTCCCTCTCTATCGCCAACCTCCACCACCAGTGCGAAGCCATGCGTCGCCACCCGATACACGACGCACCCCGCAAACAGGTTAGAGCTATAGCGATCAAATAAACTGTGGCTCAACAGGAGAGTGTGAGAGAGAACCTCTGCAGGAAACTTTTTCCCTCGAAAAGGTAAAAACCTTGGAATCTAACGGGGAACCTCCTTGTGAGCCTCTCTCGCATATTGAGCCCCGCTTTATTTGACTGCTCTAAATGAGGGGAACCTAGTGCTCCCGCATCGCTCCCAGCTGTACCCTTACCTGCCTGCTTCACGTGTGTGCGTGTGCTAGGGTATGGGTGTGAGGCAGCCAGGGATTCTGGAGGCCTGATCTTACTACCCTCATAGGAAATTGCAGGGACTCGTGTTCACCGGCTCAATTGAATACGGCTATGTATCATCACGAGTGATGCCTTATGACTTCACTAATGTATAAATCTATAATATTATGTAGGCATCTCTCTCCCCCTCTCTGATCTCCTCTTTCCTAACTTGAACACAAGATCTTCCCAATCAATGGGGAGCAAGAACCTCGATTGGAACTTTTCCTACCCCGCTCTCCTTTCTTGTGATACCGTCTAGCAGGAATGAATGAATGAATGAATTTGGCATGGAAATTTCTCAAACAAGAAGCTTTGATTCTCCCAATACCTAGCTATCCGGCCGCCCACATCCATACCCGAGTAGTTTGAACCAATAGAGCCACGCGATCGACTTCGCATTGACGCTCCGCCTATTTTTCCTTCCCCCCGCCTATCCGCAGGAACACCGGGGAGACAAAAAGGATGTGCTGACGGCACCTGTGGGCGGGCGGAAGGAGGCGATTAAGGGCCAAGCACGGATAGGGTGGCACGAGTGAGGTGGTATGAAGCACTCGAATGGGTTTCTCGTTGGCCTGCATTCCACTCTCGGGAGGGGGAAGGGGAGATGAGTGGATAGACAAAGAGAGGAGGGGAGGAATAACAGGACATGAGGGGAGGTTTTTTATTTTATTAATAACTTTGTAAGTGCGCACTGCATGGCTGTTTCGGCGGTTTGAAAGTGGTATAAAATACTACTTTGACATCTGCGGTATCGTAATCGCATGAACTCCAAAATATCCATCCTCTCACCTCCTGCACGCGCTCATACCGCATGAGCCTGCCAGCGGGGCTATCCCCCGAAATTACTGTGGCATCGTGCCGCCGGTCATTGGGAACAAGCATCTATCCCAGCACCTAGACCGCAAGTTGCAGGGCAGTAGACACAGGCGTTCTACGTTATGTGCCACGCCTTAGCCGAAAAGGCACAGAAGATATCATTGGTGCTACGGGATTTTGCGCGCCGGTAGCCAATACCATCCGGTCCATCACCCCAATACAACGGTACACAGACATAAAGACCTGACCATCGCTTCTAGACCGCAATCCGACAGGCCCGTTAAGGGTGACATACCCGCACCGGTGATTCAAAAAGGGTATACCTAAGCACCATTTAGTTTTCAAGCGACCTTTTTTCTTCCCTCTTGTCTTCAGGACGGGCGTTCGCGGTTTATATGTTCTACTCTGTAGGGCTGTGGCCTAACTGGTATAGAGTCATGCAATGAACCGAATGATTCCCTCCCTCCCGAGAGGATTAGCTGCGGTTTGAATCTCAATGCATCTTTATTATATGAGCTCGTGTTACCACAGTGTGGCGGCATATCGATAGCGCTGGATACTAGTGGGTTTCAGAGGGGGTGTGGAGTGCAAAAGAACCTACCCCTCGCGATAGTGTGGATTTAGTAGGGGAGTTTTCGAGAGTAATGGGTTTTCACTTTCCGGTGATACCTGTGATACCGGTATGTGATTGTAATTTATCACGTACCCACGTTATGGCAATTCAATACACCTCGAGAAGAGTGCGTTGACCCTGTGCCCAGGAACTTGAGTACTCTAACTGATCCATATTCCAACAGCGGTGACCCAGGTCTAGTCCTGCGCAAACCTCCGTGTCGCAGGCGGGGGGGTACATGATGGCCCACTGTCGCCAACTTCTCATACGGTAGGGTTTTGCTAACACTGCTGTTGTATTATAGGGTTAGAGAATACAATCATCACGATAATGCCATAGAGTATGTATGATAGTTCGAGGAGATAATTGTGACCCAGAAATAAGGCCAAGCCCTAGCACAGAAAGTATCCAGAAATCGCACCGCAAGACTCGCAAATCCGGTGGTCATCATCAGACGCTTGACGGGCAGTTTCCGGACACTTTTGGGATTGATGAGCAGTATCCGAGTAGGTGGACCGCTATATATTTTCAAGTCAGTTTTAACGAAGGCATCTGCCTATCTACCCCTCTCTTCCTAATCCTCTATGATACCAGCACGTTTGATTCCTCCTACCTAACGCCAGGAAAGGGCCTACCAACCAGCATCAAAACCTCATCTGAAATCGTTTGGAGGCGGCGGTATCGTGCCCCTCTACTGTGTTGTTGGAGGGACAGGGTATGTCGGGAACACGATGTGCAACAGTACTCAAAATACGCAGCACCTCGCCTGACTTTGTCTCGCGGCCATCGCCACCAAACAACCCCTTTGTTATTTCTCCGTCTTATCTGCGTATCCGACTTTCCGACGTTCCTACCGAAGCGACACACCCCAACGCGATTCCAGATTGTGCGAGTACAGTACAGAATGCGCACTGTCCGGGTCATCTGGCAAGGTCACTGCCCGATGCCCGCCACCCCCCTCGCTCGCTTCGTGGGAGCGTACCCCCACCGCCCGCCAACCTCGGCAGCCCTGGGAAGGCAGCCGGAGTGCAAGAAAGAAAGAAAAACTAACACGCGAAGCACAGAAACGAGAAAAAAACACCACAGCCGACGCCTACCGCAGCAAGCACCACGTCAAAAGTCTCGAGTGGAGCCTTGCCATCCGACCATCTGACAAAATAATCTATTCAGATCATTCCTTCCTTCTCTCCAAACTCCAACGCCAGGAAACAACGAGGCATTCTTAGCAAGCTAGGCGGACTGGAAGGAAGGGAGGGAGGACAGGGGGCGGAGGCCGGGTCTGCGGGAGTCTCTGGCTTTGTTGGAGGTGTAGAAGGAGGCGCTGGATGTTGAACTGAAGGTCTGCTGCTAGCTGTGTGTGGCTATGCCCCCCCGGCATTGGGGAAGGGTGCTCTTAAGGTGCGAATTCCCCTGTTTTTTTGTTGCTCTCTTGGTCTGTTTCTCAGACAAGTTCGCAAAGTTTCGCAGAACAGAATCATTTTCTCACTATGGGTCAATTTCAGCCCCTCCCTGCCGCCCACCACGATACGCATCACGAGTTAATACCTGCGTCCCCGCCCTATTTTCTACGGACTCTCGCCCTAACTTCAACTTACGCTGAAAGATTTGCGAGTTATTTAGGGTGCGACAGTGGTAATGCCTCATTATCGGTAACAACTTGCGGAGCGATTTCCCAGGTAACTCTGAGCGTTGGCCTAAATCTAATTGCAACCCCCTACTGAGCCTCTTAGGCCCGAGGCTGCTTGAACATCTGCCTGGCCGCCGCCGCCCCTTTGGACGGAAAGTCTTCGAATGTGGCTGCCAGTGGTGGTGGTCATGTGTAAGGTACGTCCGGTCTCTTTGGTCGGCCGTGTTTACACTTAATGGAATTACATGCATAGCAATCTGGTTATGGGGGGGGGGTAATGTATAAGTTGCCCATCCATCCACCACCACTGCACCCATTACACCACTGCACTATTCCTGACTCGCCCTACTACTATACAGCACCTTGCACCCAGTATTTTAGGAGCCAGTTCCCCCCCCTCTCACTCTCCCTCTCGCTGCGTCCCCCACACCAACCACCAGACATCGGTCCACCCACGCATCAAGCATCCCATACCTGCCTACCAATAACAATTCTATTCACCTGCTACCTCCTTTACCAGTACCCCCTCTACCAACTGCCTTTCGATATGACCAAACAATACGAACAAGAACAAGTTAGTACTGACCATCGTCACTACTAAGTTCTCCAACGCTAATGCTTTTATAGTCGAACAAGCGGGTTGGCGATGCGGCAATCGAGTTGGGCATACCAAGAGATTGGGTTAATGATCCGTACAGAGGCCTCACCCCCAGAGAGAGGTTCGTGTGGCAGCAAGACGGTCCCCAAGACCGATCAATGCTAGGTCACCAGCAACAGCAGCAACGGCAGCAACAGCAGCAGCAACAGCAACAGCAACAGCAAAGAGGACGCTAGAGCTGTCCACCCCGCAACCTACACGAAGCCTTCCTTGGTCCTCACCCTCATAATAAGGGCTGCAGGCTCTGTCGCTCACTACCGACTTATAATCTACCGCCAGCCTATCTTTGCTTCCCTTCCCCGGGGATGTCATCAACGCTTTCATCCGATCACCAAGCGACGCTCGACCTCCCCCTAAACATTTCCTTGCCAATCCCTCAACACTCTTTTTTGAAATCGCCATTTCCTTTTACAACTTCACTTGCATTCTCTCTCTTTTCTCTTTTTTTCTCTTTTCCCTTGTACAACACCTTTTTCTTTTCTTGGGTCATAATAGAAGGGATGGATTGTGAAATGTCATGGATCGCGGACTAGGTCATATGTTTCGGTGTAGGAGTGATTCGGTTTTGGTTTATGGTTTTTCCATTCTTTGTTATGTTCACTAATTTCAATTTCAATCTCAATTTCTGCTATCATACCTCCACTTGCGGTGCTGGAACTTTTCTTGTCTCTGGTTTCCATGGAATTCTGCATTACACTCTCCGCTCCACTCTGCTTTTAGGTTTCGATTATACTATTTTACTATGGTTGAAGCGAATACTAGATACATTGGATGTTTTTCCCGTTCCCAACGTCGGCCATACGCTTGCATTTATGCACGAAATACCGTCAGACCAGATTCCGAGTCCCCGGATTCTCAACTATGCCATAGCTTACTCGGCACAACAAGGTGACAAAGAAAAACCCGGGCCATGGGCTAATTGACACTAAACCAAAAACCCGTCATTTGTAAGAGAGAGAGAGAGAGAGAGAGAGCCACATCTCGACGAGCACTAGGGCAAGAAACGCCAAGAAAGCCGCAAGAACCACAATAACCACGATATACCTCTCCCACAGAGGCTCTGGATCGATAAACTTGTAACGTTTTATGCCATGGTGTAATCGGACCAAAAGGCGGGAAAGGGTTTTGTAATCGTCGATATCCACCAAACGATACGCGCGACATCAAAAAAAAAAAAAAGACGGCGGCGACCTGCGCAACGTACGGTACCGTAACGTACTGTTTCACGCGACAACGGCGCTGCTTCCAAGTCATCGAGTCGCTCCCTCGACGCTACAAATCTTCAATTCGATCTTGTTTCCCCTTTTTCCTTTGTCGGAAATCTAACCATCTACTTGTTTCCTATGGTAGCTTCATCTGATCTGATCCGATCCGACAGATCCTGGATCCTGTAGGAGTTGAGAAAAAATGGGTCGATGATGGGTAAAGGGGAGAGAGATGGGGGGGGGGGGTGCTTAATTTCTAGGTTTAAGAAGAAAAGAAATGAAATCGCAGGCGTCT